CAGCAAGAAGAGCAAGGAAAGAGAAAAAGAAAATAAAGAAAATAAAGTAAGAAAATTGAAGTGAAAGGTATGGTAAGCCAAGTGGTCCTTAAAATACTTTATTACTAAAGTGCAATGAAGCCAATCATTAGTGCCACTGATACAAAAACTGATTCCGTGGACTGTCCACGATTAATTTGTACATGCACGTTCAGTCAACTGCATATATATCCAGAGTTAAGACAAAAGTAGTAAGATGTGGCTTCTTTTTATAGTGAAATCTCCAAAAATCAGTATATGTAATTCTGGTGTAACAGCCTTGGAGAATGAATTTCTCTCTTTTTTTCCACAGAAAAGGTAGAGCGCTAGTTGAAAAAAAAAAAAATGCAGGCGTCATCACCAGGGCTCGACAAATACGCTCGCCCATGGCGAGTACATATCAGCTGGTCATCCCGTTCTCCTGTGGTGCACGCATGCGCGGTGCAGGTCTGGCGAGTAGGATTTCGTGTCAGTCATCGAGCCCTGTTCATCACACTGCTTGGTTGGTGCACCTCAACTGTGTTCATGAACACTTAGTGCTACAACTACAATGAGAGGAGAAGAAATTCCATCTACTAACCATAATTCCAATTGTAATTCCAGTGAATTTCCGTGGGAACCATAATTCCTATCGCTCATCTGCACCTTTGGAAGTTTCCCCCATAATGTTCCATATGCTATTACCAACTACTGAGCTATCCGTCTCCCTTTTTTTTTTTTTTTTTTTTTAAATTATACTTTCAGGAACTGAGGCAAACATATGGTAGCATTCACCAGTTTGGTAGAGTACTGAAGGAGACTGGTACTATAAAAATCCATTTTAATACTTTTTGAATTTCAGTATTGTATAGGAGCCATATACGCTTCTGTTTGTAACAGTGTGCTTCTTAATTTCATTAAAAAAAACCCCTATAAAAGTGTGGATATGAAGGATTTGTTAGTAACTTGTAAACAAAACAAAAAAGGGGGGGGCTATTAAACAAAGCTTATTAGTCAAACAGCTAAATTACAGCAGCCAGAGAAATATAGAATGATGTGAAAGGAGTAATATATGACAACATTTAATTTTAAAAGATGAGTAATATTAGTGAAGTACTTACACCTCATCAAGGTTACTGTAGGAGATAGGTATGGTAAAAGAGACAATGGAATTTCCAGGATGGAGTAATGGTAAGAAATACAGACAAAATGAAAGGATGCAACAAGTTAATACAGAAAATTAAACTGGAAAGCTTATATATAAAGAAAGAAGAGAGCTTAACTACTAAATGGAAACACAGAGAAACCTAAAATACATGCTAATTAAATGAACACAAGCAGGTAAGTAACTTGTGTTAAAAGCTAAATCATGAAAACTATTCTTCCATGCTTTCCTCCTTATTTTCTTAGCTACAGATGAGTCTCCTTTCCTTTTTAAAATTTGGGAATCTTTATGGTAATTACTCAGTGCAGCACAAGATGGTGCCAGAGACAAAGAAAGACATCTAGACAGGCAATTTAGCAATTAATTTACACTAGCATTTTATGCTGATTTCAAGGCACATGGGTTGAGAGAAATATGCCATTTTTTAATCAGAATAAAACCACTAGTGAAATTAAGTACCTGGAATCTGACATATCAACAGATTTTAAATATCTATGTATATTCATCATGCTGATCTACCTGTGTGATGCCCTTCAACTCCCAAACCAAATACTTCCCTAAAATCTAGTTAAGCCTCACTACAGCAGCAAGTTACATTACCAATACTATTAGATATACAGTAATGACATAAAAAAAAAACTTCATTGATACACACATGAACACCACACAAATATTCTGTGAAAAAGAAATTCTGAAATATTTAATAATGATGAAAAGGAAAAAAAAATCACACCATGTAAACCAAAACAACGTACTATATTAAAATGTGGTTATTTGAAAAAAAAATGTTTGAAAAATATTAATTTTACACTCAATCACACATGCAGGTTATTTCTACAACATAAGCTACCATAATTCAATTCCAGTGCTGTTGATACTAACTTTGTCACTGTTGTTACCTGCAAAGGAAAAAAGTATTTAAAGCATTATCTCAATGATTTCCTCTCCCAATACTTCAGAAAATCTTCCAAGTTCAAGTTCTGGCAAAGAACCTTGTCTCTTCTAGCATCAAGCTGAATTTTGTCAGGAACCTATAAGAGAAAGTTTCAGCCCAACCCACTTGGTACTGAGTAAGAAATTGAAGCAGTCTTTCCAGTTTTAAGCAGCAGGCACATTCTCATGCGTGAGTTGGCAAGAAGGTCTTGGTAAAAGCACAATTATATACAGCCACATGAAGCAAAAAGCTCTCCCTTTAAGCCATCGCTAAGAAACAGAAAATAGGCCATTCTTCCCCATCCTACAGTGAAAGCAAAGCAAATCAGGAAGCTATTTAGTAAGACTGCAGTTTTGATGTTTGATAAGGTTTTCACCATGGTCAAGACTCATATTTTGAATCACTAAACCACACCAATATTTTCAGAAGGGGAAACAGAGAGATAGAAGTGATTTTATTGAAATCTCTCTCAATGCCTATACTGTATAATAAAATGATTAATCGGCATTATCCAGAAGAAGCTAGTATAATGGAGTAGTTCCAGATCTTGTGTGAATAACTGATTTATCTGATTCACTTTGGTTTGACACAAAATGAAATTTTTGTAAAATAAAAAAAGTTGAAAAAAAGATTGTGGGCTGAACAAAATGTTTTCTTTTAACCAAAGCTAAAATGCCTCATTTTGATTTTGAGCTTTTTAAACAAAAAAAAATTTTAAAGAAAGGAAATTTCCTGAATGAAGAGTTAACTAGAAATTAAACATTTCGGGTTTGTTTTAAAAAAAAAAAAAAAAGAGACACATTTGCAAAAATATTTTGGTTGACGTGTAGATTTTTGCTGAAAAAAATGGTTTCAGCAAAATTATGTATAGCTCTAGCAGTTGTGTTCTCAAGCTGGTTAAACTGACAATAGCTGACAAGTTGTAAACTATATTTTGTAATTGCAGCAGTGACTTACAGACTCTTGAAAGGGGGTGGGCTAAATCAGTTTTTCATCTTTAGGGCTATCAATTCACCCAATCATAACTGGACTGCCAGAGTTAAAAATCTCAATTTCTCTTGCTCCTCTTGCTCACCTCTTCCCTTTGCCCCCAATTTTAATATTCTATATGATGTTTTTATACAATTGCACAAAAATTCTGGGTTAAGTGAGGAAAAACTTTATGGGTTAATTAACATGGTGACTAAGCAAGCTGAGAATACCGTTAGCTAGTCAGATGCAGATGTATATATATTTTTGTCATTTTTACTTTAAGGCTTAAAGATTTTTACAGCAGTGTTTAATTAAGTTGTAGTCCAAGTATACTATTCTGTTACCCTTATTATAAATAAAGTACACTTTCACTAAAGTGTAAACCTTTTCCAAGTTCCCATATTAGAATTTTCCTCCTAAGACTGGCAGGAAGACAGGAATTTCTTCACTAATAGTTGCAATTTGCTTCGCATACACTGAATCTTATAGTGATGCATTTATGCTGGTCAGGCATCTTGAATGCTGATGTGCTAATTAGGGATGTTAAAATTAGGTTATTGTTGTAATCAAGTTGTTGTTAGAATTTTTACTGACTATTCAATTATTTGATAAGGGAAGGCAGCCTGTCCCCCAGCTTCTACTTAGTTTTAAATTGCAGAACTGCAGCGGGGTTTGGTCCGCAACCCAGCTCAGGCAGGGATTGAGCCTGTCTGCCTGCCCACTCGGCTCCTAATTTTAATAGGAGCCTGGCGCAGTCCCTGCTCGTGCTGGCTCGGAGACCAAACCCTGTGACTCTGCAATTTAAAATTTGCAGGTAACACTAGTCCCAGGGAGAACCAGGACTGACCCGGCTGCCAGCACAGCTGGTAGTAGCACCTGTCCTTGGAGGGTCCCAACTTCCTCCTGGGACCCCCGCCCATGCGGACAGGGGCTACTGCTGGAGCAGCCTCCCCTGCCCTCCTCTAATAGAGGCAGCAGTGGGGGTATGGTGGGGGGGAGGGGAGAAGGAACACGAGGAGACAGTGCTGGTGGGAAACCAGCTGCACCCCTTGCTGCCTCTAATATAGAGTAATATAGAGGCAGCAAGGGGAGGGGGAGTAAATACAAGTAGTCCACTTGATTACCTGATAAGCTTAGGATTATCAGGTAGACTAATCAATTACTCTCTTATATCCCTAGTGCTAATTACAGGCCAGCAGTACTGCTTGCCTGCAGGAGAATTGATTTAGTTATCAGTCTTTGGTTTTTTCCAGTGCTAATTACTGCAGCTGAAAGCCAGTTCTCTGTATTATACTTCCAAAAGTACCCATTCTGGAAGGATATGGATGGTTCACCAGAGCACTTTTAAAAGTCTCCAAATAATAAGTCTTCAGGACCTGATGCTTTTCCCCCCTTTTTAAAGCTGTGTGGAATAATGTCATCATGTGTTTGAAAGAATCCTAAAAATTGACAAGACAACAGTGACAAAATGCACAAGGTCTGCATCATATGAATAAATGAACGAATGAACGAACATGTGGAAAAAATTCAGTCTGAAGTATAAAGGAAATATATAAGCTCAATTATTTGTTCTTAAAAATGGAATAATTGAAACCACAGTGCTGTATCTTAGTTCAGGTACAGATGTTTCTCTCTTTGTAGGTTATTGCTTATGCTCAGCACCAAATTCAAAATGTACCAGAAAAAGTTTGCATCATGACTAACTTTTTGCTTTTGCTCTTCTAATGACCTCTGAATAAAAGTGAAATACATATAATAGCTAGTTTTAAAATTCTCTGGTAATGATGCAAAGTACTTCTTGAACTTCACATATTAAGTTAAATTTGCAAGAAATGTGGCCAAAATAAATAAAATACATTAAAACCATTGTTTCTTTAGAATGTAGCTCAATGGCTTGATTTAAAGATGTGTTGAGTATTAGCAATGCCAAAAACTATCCTGTTAATTAATGTCTTTAAAATGTTAAATCTCAGCAGATGTATTAGTGTTTTAACTTTCAAAATGTCTGGAGTTTATGACTTTTTGACAGTTCTGAATTGCTAGAAATATACTAGCACTTGCATTTTAGTGCTGGCTTTTTTTAAGATTAGATGGACATCGTTCTGCATAACTCAAGTGTCCACTGCATTAGTACCACTGAAAAACTTGATTCAATTCAAATTTAATTGACTCTCTATACCAACTTTCTAGTTTCCTCTATGTAGCAAATATAACAAATTCTATATATTTCCTTCTTTCCCAGCCTCTGAATGCAATACTCTAACTTGCACTATGTAGTCACCATTATCAAGGTTATTCTTCCATAGCATCCTATCCCTTGGTTTCCCCAATTCTAGATGGGCCTTCTTGACAAACTGCCTCGCATTTTGGTGGTGCCTGCTGCTTTTTTAAAACTATGTCGGGACTTAATGTTTTAAAATTATACTTAAAAATATACTACTGAGCTTGCTATAAAGTTCAAAACGCATCCAATGAATTATTCCAACTGTCTTTTCAAAAAAAATCTCAACATCAACTCAGAGATTATACTACGTACACAAGATGCTTCTAGAAGATCCTTTAATAAGCTCATTTTTATACCTACAGCCAGCCCATTCTCATTTATCTTTTTCAGAGTCATTCTGTGAAAGGAACCCAACTCTTCCAAGATGCGTTTTATCCCTTTAAGTGCAGCCCAGTAAATTGTCTAGAAGAAAAGTCCCTTACAGCAGACCAAGTGCCCTGAAGCCACCTACCCATTTTGCTGTTTATTGTCAACCTGGCTCTCTTTGACTCCTCTTCTTTGCCCCTCTGCCACATCCTGGGCATTGTCGTTGGAATACGTGTTCATGGTTGTATTGTATGTGTTGGGCTGCCATGTGACATTAACTGCAGTTTTAGCAGCATTCAGTGCAGGCGAACGCTGGTCAGTACTGGATTTGGCATTAACATGCAGTCCAGATGCAGTGAATGGGGGAGGAGTGACAGTGGCCAATGGTGGAGGGGAAGCAGATGATGGAACAGTCGCATGGGCTGGGGTGAAGGCAGATGACGGTGATGGAATGGAAGTGATTTTTGAGGAAGATACAACTCCAAATGGCCTTGGTGTCTTATTGTAGGCCAAGTTCATTGTGGAAGTGACTTTAGGTGCAACAGCAGATGCAATGGGCACAGGCTTAACTACTTCTTTAGGTTCTCCCTATGTAAAATAAAAACAAAACACACACAAAGCACACCAACCACATGCAAAATCCTTAATAGACATTTTCATTGGAAAAGCAAGACAGATGATGTGTTTTATAATAGCAACATTTCGACTGTACTGTACTGGCGGGAAAAAAAAAAGGGTATGACATGCATTTTTGGGACAAGGAAGGATCCTATTATACGCAACACACTTAGAAACCCGAGGTATTATTTCCTCTGATCTCATGCAAGATATCCATACCTTAATAAGGTTTAAAGATTAAATTAAAGACTCATTCAGATGCAAAGGTCACCAAATTCCTCAGGTGTGGCCTAACTTGCTTAATAAATACACTGAAGGGGTTTTTAAATTTAAACCCCATCTAAAGCCAAATTCAATACACACACACAAAATACGTAACATTACACTGCATATTGTATGTGTGATGTGTCAAAGGATATGGGGAACATTAAGTGATACTTCAATGGGCACAGCAGCAAGTGGCCAACAGTCTAAGAGAAACAAGCGACACACTATGAAAGCTGTTACAGGTTGGACCTCTATAGTCCAGACTTCTACCATCTGGCAACATCTGTAGTCCAGCATCCTAGAGCATGTTACTGGGCTGGAGCACTCACAGGGTACGTCTAGACAGTGGCGCTATTTCAGGATATGTCCGGTATCCGAAATAGCGTTTTCTGCATTTTAACAGAAATGTCCGTTATTTCAAAATGCAATCAAAATTAGGGATGTTAGCAACTAGTCCACTATCTGTACACCGCGAACAGGGGCTGCTGGATTCAGCAAGAGCTGTGACTAAGCAGTCCGGACTACTGCTGATTGCTGTACCTTTGCATTTTAAATGTAGTAATAGCCCAGCAGCTCTTACTACACTTGAAATGCAGAGCTGCAGCGCTGATGGCCCCAAATCTGGCACAAACCAGGAGTGCTCATTCCCGGCTAAAGTCAGCTCCTGGAACTACCCCTGCTGCAGCTCTGCACAGCACTGCTTATCGACTAATCGTATAGTCCAGAGTTTCCCAAACTATGGGCCACGTCCCTATACCGGGCCACCGGAAAAAACTACCAGGCCTCAGCATGGTTGCCAGGGTGTTCTGAGCTCCCGGAGTGCCCGAGTGGCACTGGGTCCCCCAAGCCCTCGGCTGGCCTGGGCGGAGTCTGCAGTCAGATGTTCCGGCTCCCAGCAGAGTCCTAGCTAGGGGAGGGCAGCGGGGGGAGGAGGAGAGGAGAGCCGGCCACCGGAAGCAGCACTGGACAGGGGAATTGGGGCAGGGTGGGCCAGGGAGATTGGGGGGCTGGTGGAAGCAGGGCTGCTGGGGGGTGTGAGGTCAGGGTAGGGAGCTGGCCAGGGAAGATGGGGGGGAGAAGCAACCACCGGAAGCAGAGCTGGACGTGGGCAGCAGGGCTGGCCAAGGGAGATTGGGAGGAGAACTGGCTGTCCGGGAAGGGGTTGGGAGTAGTGGGGCTGGCCAGAGGCACAGCGGGGAGAGCAGGGGAAGGAGGGGAGTGAATCGGCCAGCGGGGAGCGAGACTGACCTGGCCATATGCAGATCTCGGGGCGCTGCCCCCCCCCCACAAAGCATGAGTTAGTCCAGCTCGGGGATTCTATTGCCCCCCCCCCAACACACTCCCCCTCGAGTAGTTGTGAACTGTCTGGCTGGTAGACACACTCATGCAGCCTGAGCACATTTACCAGCCAGGCAGTTCGAAACTACAAACTGATACATCTAGTAATAATACAACTTACATAATGAGAAAATACCAGGCATGTTATGTGTCTGGTATTTTTTCAGTTTGTTTTTTGTGTGTTTATATTTTTGGGCTGCAAAAAACAGTACTAAAAAAAAGGGTTCCAACTAAAGTAAAAGGTTTGGGAAACCCTGGTCTAACCAGCTTTCTGTCTGTCTTACAGTCCATTTATCCAATCCATATTCCTTAACTTGCTGGCAAGAATATTGTGGGTGACCATATCAAAAGCTTTGCTAAAGCTGGCACTGGGGGTTTTGGGAGGACCAGAAACAACGTATTTGAATATTCATCATTTGATTAATGAATATACAAATATGCAAATTAACGTTACTGGTCCTCAAAAAGTTCATGAATGGATTTACTGGTCCCCGCGTCAAAAAGTTTGGGAACCCCTGGTATAGTTAATACAAATTGTATCAACTCTACGATTAACCAGATAATTGCATTTTAACATCCTTAATCGAAGTAACAGGCTTGTTTTTCCAACGTCTCGGTAAACCTCGTTCCACAAGGATCAAGGGACTTGTTGGAATAGCAGTCTATTTCGAAACTAAATCGGAACAGACTATCTTGAAATAAGCTCGAAATAAGCTATGCAATTTGCATAGCTCAAATTGCATAGCATGTGTCTAGCTAGCGCCACTTTTCGAGCTAGTGCCACAGGGAAAAGCTGGGCCCTATGCTCACAACTCCTTCTTTGCCCTCCAGAGGTTCCAGAGTGCATCACATAGCCCATTTGTGGCACTCAAGCTGAGGAGGGGGAGGGAGGAGTGAGGACCAGACCAGGGTGGCATGGTGGGATGCTTGGAGGAAGAGGCAGGATGGCCGTGGAGTCCCATGGCTGGGGGCTGAGAGCATGTGGCTCAATACAGTTCCGTGAGGCTGCTCTCCTAGTGCCTGATCACGGCCCACAGCTGCCATGCATCTGCCCCCCCCCCTCCAGCCCAGCCTCTCTGCTGCTGGCGCCAGAGCAGAGCACCGCAGCTGCTTTTTTCCCAAAAGTATGTAAAGGGAAATGTTCTCCCCTACTTTGAAAAACTCTGACAAACTATTCTGTACACTCTATATAGCAAGGCTTCTTTCAAGAGCAGAGAGAATGTATATGTTCTGTTTGGAAGAAATTAGTGGTTTTTCCATTCAACAAGAGGCAATGCTGCCATAAAGGCTGTCATTAAAGTAGGGGAAATGGTTAGAAAATAAATATTCGGGATGAAAAAGCTGAAAGATATTTGCAGCTTTAAAATTGTTAGTCAAGTGTACACTTCTCCCCTCTGCCATTTTTAAGGTGATTACTGTTGGACCTCCCTGAGTGGTCCTGAACCATGGAGTTTGCCAGACCAAGGGAGGTCCAGGCTCCCCTCCCTGCCACCACCAGCCCCCACCAGGCTTGTGCTCATGCTGGACCACAGATATTGCTTGTCCCGAGAGTCCCAGATTTTAGAGGTTCAAATTATATTGTGATTTGCTGGTGTACATGATATTTACATAACATAGGGAAACTCAATATGTTGTGCTAAAAAAGGAAGCAGTTGAATACCAGTGCATGTCAAGAATAGAGTGCAAGAGCTGCAGAAAGTAGTGTAACACACTACACCTCTGGGTTTAAATAAAAAACATACCTTTTGTACAACAACAGGATCAGGTTTTGGTGCAGAGGCCACTCTGAAAGAGACAAAATATGCACAAATTTAAAAATACATGTACTGCATTGACAGGGTCCTGCAATACTGCACCTCTTACAGTATACCTAACTATCTTCTCCCCCATCTAATGTTGGTGAATTTCCACTACACTTAATTGCTTTCTTCAGAGGAAATGAGATTACTGGATTTGTGTCTACAGTATCGCAGATAACAGATGACAAAAATGGACAAATTGGATTCTCTTACTCCTAAGCATTTAAGGCCCACCAGAACAAAACAGCCACCTTTCCTAGGAGCACACTGAAACATTAATTTTAATTAATTTTCCTTCAGATTGATCACTAAATGGCAGCCATTAAGTTCTAGACAAAAACTTCACAGACTCCTGCAAAAACAACTGCACATTACCTCAGAATATGTATAATCAAGGGCTTATGTCTCCACTTTTTTTCAACATAAACAAGTTACTACCACACAAGAGTCATTTTGATCTGTTTAAATTTTAGATTAACTATAATCTTTTCAATGGTCATGAGCCATAATCTCAATAATTTGCTTTGTTTTCTTTTCCCTGTGTATGGAGTTACTTGTTTTTAACTAAACTGTGTAAATCGGACAAATTCTGTTTAAATACAGCACCATCATAAGAGCAGTGCTAAAGCACAAAACTTCTAGCACAGAGCTTCTTTTCAGTACTAAAAAAAGAGGCAGTTCTGCTTTTGAAGGATTATATCCAAATGAAGTTACAATTAGTACTTCATGTGGACTTTCAGGCCTTCCAAGAGAAGTACAATGTAACTCCAAGTCTTTTGCACATAGAAAGATATATTCTTCCAAATGGATGCAAACTGTTGGAGAAAGGGGAAGGACAATGGAGAACATCCGAAGTTTGTGCGGCTGCAGGAACCTGAGGTCCTCACCTCAAGGGAGTGTGTGCGCATGTGCACCCCAAATCATACAACCCTGATTTTCTAAAAGTATTTGCAATAGGGTTTTGCGTAAGGGAATACTGAATATAACTTCTAGAATTTAACTGTCGGGGAAGAACAACGAGTAGTTCTGTGCCACCTTAGAGACTAACAAAAATACATATAGTATCATGAGCTTTCGTGGGCAAAATTACTTCCATTAACCGGTGAGTAGATAATAGAGATAGCTCTCCAGATTAGCAGTAGGAAAGTCAGAAATGTAGATAATTAATATTTCAGGTGAATCTATATAACTGATGCTTCTTGTACTGTTCATTTATAGACTCACTTTTAATATGCAAATATATCTACCCTTCCATGTACACCATTTGACTTCAGGACAAATCAGCTCCTACTAATAAAATAACTGTGTGCTACTAAAGTGCTCACGTAACAAGTGTGGCTACTAGCTATTGACTGGTACCAATAGAGACACGTGCATTATGCAGATATGTTGGCTAAAGAAACACGCAGAGAGCAAGCAACACATTTTCCCCTTTGTTTTAAGCATTTGTTCATCACTGATAACACATTATGCACCCAACAACGATCATTCTAAACTGAGAGAGGTTTTTGTCCCTTCGAAGGAACAGATGGGAAAGGGTTCAGAAAAGGGCAACTAAAATGATTAGGGGTTTGGAATGGGTCCCATATGAAGAGAGGTTAAAGCGACTGGGGCTTTTCAGCTTAGAAAAGAGGAGACTGAGGGGCGATATGATAGACGTATATAAAATCATGAGTGTTGTGGAGAGGGCAGAAAAAGAAAAGTTATTTATTAGTTCCCATAATAGAAGGACTAGAGGACACCAAATGAAATTAATGGGTAGCAGGTTTAAAACTAATAAAAGAAAGTTCTTCTTCACACAGTGTGTAGTCAACCTGTGGAACTCCTTGCCAGAGGAGGCTGTGAATGCTAGGACTATAACAGAGTTTAAAGAGAAGCTAGATAATTTCATGGAGGTTAGGTTCATAAAAGGCTATTAGCCGGGGGATAGAAATGGTGTCCCTGGCCTCTGTTTGTCAGAGGCTGGAGAAGGATGGCAGGAGACAAATCGCTTGATCATTGTCTTCGGTCCACCCTCTCTGGGGCACCTGGTGCTGGCCACTGTCGGCAGACAGGCTACTGGACCAGATGGACCTTTGGTCTGACCCAGTACGGCCATTCTTATGTTCTTATGTTAGATCTGCTCTCCCAGTTTCCTACAGAATTTACAGCCTATGAGACTACTGACTTCAAAACCTATAAAGCACTGGGGTGCATCATTAATCACTTCTAACTGAAGAGCTGTCTATTTACAGCAACAAAAAACACCAAGAGAATAAATGCCAACACACATGGAGAGATGTATTTAATTATGACCATAGCTAGCATGAAACATGTATATCATACCATAATTTGATACACTTATGGATGAAAAGTTATTTGTTGGAAAACTGCTACAATCTAAGCTGCCCCTATAGTGTAAAATGAAAAATGTTCATTTTTGAAGTTTGAGTTTTATATTTAAAGATTCAGCCAGAATTTTACACATCTTCAAAGCATGAGGAGCAATTTGCAACACCATGCTGATCAGTCTCCTTCCTAAAACTCTCCTGGCAAAGAACACTATCATGGACACACATGTTCAGGAAAATAGAAAGCAAAGACAAAAACTCTCCCAACATTATAGTTTGTGTCATCTTTTTCTTAACAACCCTCTCCAACAATTTTTCAGGAGATTATAACTTTCCCTTAACTTTTAGAAATAGAAAAAAGTTATTACATTTTAGTATAAGATCTGTTTATGCACATACTAGTGTATAGTATCTGCACAGTGTTATTTCCTAATTATTATTTTGCAAACCTATTTTGTCTTCAGAATAACATTTAAAAATACTATTAAAAAGTTAAATCAGCTTCTGATCATTAAAAATATTCATAATGTTCTTTTAACATGGAGTCAGACATAATACCATTATATAATTTTACCGTAAGCACATGAGAGACTAGGAAATAAGTGTGTGCCCAGACATGTTTCAAAGCATTACATGGCTTTGATGACTTCTGACCACAACTAGCCAAATTTGTGGTTTATCCAAGATCCTGAAGAAAATGTTCACCAAGCAAACTAAGCCACCAAGGTGTGACTAAGAAAAACATGCTACAGTGGTTACGCAAATCAAGAAAAAAAAAATCATAGTTCCGGTTGAAACACAAAACATTTCCAACACTTCAACCAAATGGAATGCTTCCTTAAGTACTTTAATAAGCACAAGTGCTCTAGTATTGTGATAGATGTTAACATATGAAAATAGTTTTAATACCTATCTGTCTGCAATATCGTACGTGTCCCTTCTAGCTACAGCTCATTTATCTCCTAGTTCGCCATGGCAGGATTTAAATGCCAATTTTGCAGATATCAATTTTAGTGGGTAAAGTGGGCTGAGCAGAACAACAGACAATCAAGGCATTCACAAAACATTACTGTTCTTCCTATTAACCCTTTTTTTCAAGTCACTTAATTAGGCTTGATAGTACTAATTTGAAAGGAAGATATCTTACATAACATAACAACGGCCGTACTGGGTCAGACCAAAGGTCCATCTAGCCCAGTAGCCTGTCTGCCAACAGTGGCCAGCACCAAGTGCTCCAGAAAGGGTGGACCGAAGACAATGATCAAGCGATTTGTCTCCTGCCATCTCTCTCCAGCCTCTGACAAACAGAGGCCAGGGACACCATTTCTATCCCCTGGCTAATAGCCTTTTATGGACCTAACCTCCATGAAATTGTCTAGCTTCTCTTTAAACTCTATTATAGTCCTAGCCTTCACAGCCTCCTCTAGCAAGGAGTTCCACAGGTTGACTACACACTGTGTGAAGAAGAACTTTCTTTTATTAGTTTTAAATCTGCTATCCATTAATTTCATTTGGTGTCCTCTAGTTCTTCTATTATGGGAACTAATAAATAACTTTTCTTCATCTGCCCTCTCCACAACACTCATGATTTTATATACGTCTATCATATCCCCCCTCGGTCTCCTCTTTTCTAAACTGAAAAGTCCCAGTCGCTTTAACCTCTCTTCATATGGGACCTGTTCCAAACCCCTAATCATTTTAGTTGTCCTTTTCTGAACCCTTTCCAAGGCCAAAAATATCTTTTTTGAGGTGAGGAGACCACATCTGTACACAGTATTCAAGATGTGGGCATACCATAGTTTTATACAGGGGCAGTAAGATATTCTGGGTCTTATTTTCTATCCCTTTCTTAATAATTCCTAGCATCCTATTTGCCTTTTTGACCGCCGATGCACACTGTGTAGAAGTTTTCAGAGAACTATCCACGATAACTCCAAGATCTCTTTCCTGATTTGTCGTAGCCAAATTAGCCCCCATCATACTGTACATATAGTTGGGGTTATTTTTCCTGATGTGCATTACTTTACACTTATCCACATTAAATTTCATTTGCCATTTTGTTGCCCAATCACTCTGCTTAGTGAGATCTTTTTTGAGTCCCTCACAGTCTGCTTCTGTCTTGACTATCCTAAACAGTTTGGTATCATCCGCAAACATTACCACCTCACTTCTTACCCCTTTCTCCAAATCATTTATGAATAAGTTGATCTTGATCTTGTTTAGTGTCACTAAGTTTGGTATCATCCACAAATGTTACCACCTCACTGCTTACCCCTTTCTCCAGATCATTTATGAATAAGTTGATCTTGATCTTGTTTAGTGTAATTAAGAATGCCAGTTGATCAGTAGATGAACCAATCTAATTTCCACAACAGTAGTAAACGTATGCCAACTCTTGTTTAGTATAATTCAATACAAGACCACAAAATCCATTCATAAGCCAGAGTCCCCACAATGTTTGTCTTGCCATAGTTTGTCGCCATAACAACAATTCTGAAATCCTAATACTTAAGAGTGTTTTAGTCCTCTAAAGTTTTGTTTCAGGAGATTTTCTTTTTCTTTTTTTTACACTTCCAACCTGACACAAACCATATTCTACATGTTTTTATCTCAACACTTCAGTTCATATTTATACTTACGTATATGTTCTGAATTT